ATAGTACAATCATCAGGAAATTAATTTAGCGTAAACTTGCATAAATCTTACGATGCCGACGTAATATTGTGTAAATCTTACAGTGCCGACGTAAGTTTTACACTTTTTTATTATTAAACTTACAATTGACACGTGTAAAATTTTTTTATATTTTCCGGATGATGTTCATGTTCTTTTGCAAATTCTAACCGACGCTTTCGGTGTTTACTGCTGAGGTAGGGTTTTTTTCTCTTAATTCTTGATACTAAACCATTTGCATGAAGTATATGACGAATGGTAGGCGACGAAATACTAATATTTTCTTTTTCTTCTATAAATTTTGGACCTCTGGAGCAGATGAGCACCTTCGCGAAGTGATGAGATTAACAATTTTATTTTTATTAGTTCATTTATAGTAGATGGTCGACCTGATTTTGGTGCATCTTTGAGGGAGTGTTGTTCACGCCATCTTTTATTAATACGAGAAACTGTTGAGGGGCTAATATTTGTTGACTTTGCTATTTGCCTTGTAGTATGTGGGTCTGGGACACTTTGCCGACAACACGCGGGGTTACATTTAATCTCTACACAATCAAACAAACTAACAAAATGCTAAAATATCACGTCGTGTGTTGTCGGTAAAGTGTCTTGTCTGTAAAGTGGGTGTCGGTAAAGTGTCCGAGTCCGGTAGTGGGTCCATTTTGAAGAGAAAGAAGAATTTGGACTCTTTCTTCCGGAGTTGTATGAGGCTTTTTTGTCTTGGCCTTTTTACTAAAAAGTTGTAACAATGGGCATGGCATGTAAACAAACGCAAAAAAATTTCCTTTCATATAGCACGACTATGAGCCCCTGATTCTTGTATAAACGATCATATATAATGCAACACACGTTTCGTACTGATCACATTTTTATTCAAAGATTGGACATAGAAATAATTATTGAAATTTATATATATATAAATTACATTATTACAAACAAAACTATCAAAAAAAATTACATATATTTCTGAGTTTTCGCAAAATATTTCAATTTAACAAATTTTATTTTTTTGTTGCGTTATTTATGATCGCCACTGTAAATGCGCATATAATAATAAGAAATTAAATGGCATATTTAATTTCTTTTTAGAAATGTTTATTAATAAGTAAATGTCTATAAACAATATATCTAAAACCTTATGCGTAACACACTATGAACGGTACATCTCTAGAAATATGCATAAGTATATTTGCTGCAATATCCTCCGGGACAATAACTACCTGGAGACTGAATGTCAACAACGGTACTGTTTAAAGAAAGAGTAAATCCGGCTTCTGTTATCTCTGTATGATCCTCGAGTGGTACACCGAAAGGTGTTAAAAAGTTAAATGACATAATCACGAAGATGAGGATCATAAAATTTTTCATGATTTTAGGTCTTTTTTTTTAAAAAAATTATTATTACGTGTGGAAAAGTAGACGTAAATGATTTATTAAAAAATATTAATTGATTAATTAATTAATATTAATTTTAATTTGATTTTAATCGTATAATGAAAAAAAAATCAGACAAAGATTTTTCAAATGCACACATTTAAAGACTTGTATAGTGCACGCCACAATAACCCATCAAATAAAAATTGACCAACTTTAAACCTAAAAAGAAAATATTGTGTGCTTATCAAAAATTATTGAGATGATATTTGATAGCTTTTGACTAGTTCTACAAATCTATCGTCGAGGCAATTAAAAAATAATTATTGGTTCAGGAGTTATAAGCTTTTGAAAATCATGTAATTTTTATGTTATACGTATATAAAACTTTACATGTAATTTTGGCCCACCTTAAGTCATACAAAATAGATTTGTAATTCTGGTAAATCACGCGATATAATTCATCCATAAAATTAAAACGTTTTTTTTTTAGTCAATAAATCTTGCATTGAATTTATGAATATAAAATAATCACATTCAAATTTTTTTGTTTAAAATTTCTCTTGAAGGACCTTTGACTTGTTATGCTAGACATAACTTAGCAATTCAAGATGATTTTAAAAACCAAAAACCCTTACTTCAAGAATTAATTGAAGAAAGGGGACATAAAGTCATCTTCTATCCAAAGTTTCACTGTGAGCTTAACTACATTGAAATGTATTTGGGAGCTACTAAATGATATGTTAGACAACATTGTAACTACACATGGGAAGGTCTTCAAGAGAATGTCCCCAATGCTTTTGATTCTATACCACTGAAACAAAATTAGAAAGTATGGTGAGAGCCTCAAGATTTACGGATTGTTACAGGAAAGGATTAACAGTACTACAGGCTGAATATATTGTAAAAAAATATGTCACATAGAAGGATTCCAGACAATGTGATTCAATAAAAAAAAATCAAATTTTTTTTGTGAATTTGAAACATATTGCACAGCATTTGATGGGTTATAGTGGCGTGCACCGTACAACCTGTAATAGTAGAATGATATTTCCATAATAATAATAAACGGTTACAGGAAACAGTCAGCCTTATTACTAAAAAAAAAACAAATTTTTAATTCCACGAATTTGAACATGATACATTTTTGGAGAAATCATGGAATTTTAAATTACAGACCAGATTTTTTACAAGGCAGGATACCTCCTCTCAATTGTTTAAAGTGCTTGATAATATAAATAAATGTCCAACTTATCGAGTTTACCTGTGTAATTGTTATCGGTATTGTAAATTCCAGAATAGACAATAGTGAGATGGATAATTATTTAAATGAAATAGGGAGCCATGAAAACGATAATATTATCATATGCAATTACTATGTTTGTTTAGTTTCATTTAGTTGAATAAAAATTTTTGTTTGTTTTGAATTGAAAAATGATAATCATAATAATAAGAATAAAAACGTTTACCTACTTTTAATAGTGCATGCTTGCCAATGGCTGCTGTCAGTTCAAAAAAATTTGTTACGGCCAATTTTTTATTTTAAAAACTTTCTATACAGTATATCAAAAGTTATAAGGTTTAATCAAATTATTTCAATTGTTTCAAGAGTTATTATGTTCAGTACGCCAGCTAACAATTTAAAAAACACAAATAGTTTCACAAATATATTTTTGATATTGTTACTCGATCGCTGTAATAAGCAATAATAATCAACTCACGAAAAATAATTCTAAATTGTAACAGACCTTTAATTCTCATAAACAAACGAATTTAAATTAATTGTTCACTCTATAAATAACTTGAAAATAATTCTAGATGGAATGTTCGAATTATACATTTAATTAGAACAAATTAAGAGTTCTAGGAGATGATTGAACCTTTTAACAACGTTATAATGTTCTTAACTTCATATCTAATAAATTTCCCTTGTCCTTGTCCTTGTCCTTGTGATTGTCTTCGGATTTTATAAATCTATGAATTCATATTAACCCCGTGCATAATTAATTATCTCTTATTTTATACTTGTCTCTATTTTTTCTATTTTTTTTTTCTTTTAATGTGGTAATATTTAATAAATTCTATTTAGTGAAGTTTGGACACCTGCCAAGAAACGTGGTCAGTATATAGTGTGAAATCTAAAGAAGACATTGTTTGTATTGCTTAGCAAAGGAATTGTTTGACGATGGTGAAAGATGGTTTTGAGAGTAAGGCATAATATAACATTCGCGGAAATTATTGTTACGATTTAGTATAAATAAATCAATACTAGTCAATTAAAGTATACAGAATAGAAGTTTATTACAGAACTAATAAAGACATTATTTGTTATCTGATTTTGTTACAATGAATTTTTTGTTACATCGAATTTATTAATAGAATCGTATTACGTACAACGACACAAAATCAGAACCGGTTTTAATCAGGCAACCGATGATACTAGTGTTGATGATTCTAGTATTGATCCACATCATGCATTCAATGATATTTCCAATATTACATTACCATTTAAAAGATCAAAAACATAAATTTAAATGTCATTATATTTGGAAATAACTATTATCATTAAATACTCATTACTTCAAACAATTGTATTTTTAATATTTGTTTGTATTAATTGTATAACTATCCATTGGACAATGAAATTGAGTCCACATAATATCTATTTTTTATTAACAGAATTTAGAATTCCATTAATAAACTTTCATAATATCCTGATATTCAGAAGCAGTGAATATATAATTAGAAAAGGATGATCGATATCAAGCTTAATCATTCATCTATTTCATTTATAGCTTCTTGTCTACCATGATACTTGAGAAATTGTTGGTTATATTCTAAATAAACCAACATCTAAATGATGTAAACCATCTGGAATTGTTACACTATATACATTAAAATTTCGAATAAAATTAAGATAATCCGTTTCATAAATAAGGTTCAAATCTATAGCAAAATCGTTATCATTCATTAGTTACATTATCATTATTTTTATCAATTAATAATATTATTATGATGACCGAAACTACCTTACTTAGTGGGCTGAAATTGCTGAAATTAATTGGCCTAAACTTGGGCGAAACTAATTTTAATAGATGAACTAGAGAGTTTTTCAACTGTGCGAAAGTCAAAAGGTTCGCTACAAGTCGAAACTAGTTTTGACTTGCGACTTTTGACATAACTTTCAATTTTAGCTTGACTTTCGCCTCCTTCAAAAAAGTTTTGGCGACCAACAATATTTTAAATTGAAAATTAAGCCAATATAATCAACATCAAAATTAGAATATAACAAACATATTTGGTCATAGACAAAGAAATCTGCAATGGAACAATAGGTGATGTTGCCAACCTAGATGTTAGTCAAAATACTGTCGGAGGTTTTTTTTGCATTCTTTGTGGCGTGGTTGTGCCAAGGGATATTGCCATATTTTTTATCTAGATGTTCTAGTACTAGTGAATAAAATTTTCGGAAATTCATAAATTTGAATGTTTTTATTTAAAGCAACATGTAAATATAAATATTAATGACAGTATTAAATGATAACATAATATTAATAGAATATGTTGTAAGAACATTGTTTAATAAATAATAATAACTAACAATTAAATTATTTTTCTACATTATAACTTGCAAGAATGGAATTATAGCTAAAATCTACAACTTTAACGGAACCACCAACTATACCAGCTGCACAGCCTATAATGTCATCAGTTTTTAGATTCGCAACTATAACTATAATCATGTATTGTGCAGGTAATGCTGCTGGTACATTAACACTCAATGTTTGAGAAAATGGTGTTGCAGGGCTGGCTGGCGCCATAGCTACATCACCTATGATACTCTTAGTTGCAGGATCATAAAAACCAGCACCGGTAAAGTCGCCCTTGGCGACAGGACGACTCAGTGTTCCAGAAATAGTAAAAGTACTAGTTTGTCCAGCAACGACAGGATCAGGTAAAATTGTGACAGTAAGTTGAGGTGGTGCTACTTGTCCAGCTTTAGTAGGACATTGGATAAATTGAGTATCTCTTTTAAGAAGTTGATGTGGAATAGCATTTACCACCATGGAGAGCATAGCAAATAAAAGGAAAGCAAAAATAAACTTCATGATTTCTTTTTTTTTATTTGTGAAGATGGGTTTTATTCGTGAAGATGAGTTTTATTTGTGAGAATATAATTTATTTGTGAGAATATAATTTATTTGTGAGAATAAAATTTTATTTGTGAGAATAAAATTATTGATTAGAGTAAATCGAAATCGCTGCCTTTTTATAAGAAACAAAGTTACTCAGACTAATTATATTTTATATTCACGGAAAAAAAAATTTGACATTTCATGTAAATGAGACATCAAGCATAGTGGACACTGTTGCAGATCAAATGTGACGAATGTGACAATTCAATAATTTATGCAGTGTAACAATTAATTTTCAATTGTTTTAAAATAGAAAAAAAAACTGGAGTAGTGTTACCAGGATCAGATGATGATGACGATATTTGGCTGAATCCTTTAATTTTGGGTCAAATTAAATTTTATTTCTATTTCTATTTTTATTTTTATTATTATTTTATTTAATCTATCATTTATTTTTATTTTTATTTATTTTATTTTTATTATTTCTATTTTTATTTATTAATAACGTGTATAATTATTTATTATCATCTGAATTCGTGTTACGTTTCGCGTATTATTATTATTATTAATCAATCCGTAGCACGTTCATATTTATTTAACTTTATTTAGTAGAGATTAATGACGATTCTCCCGGAACGGGCGGAATCGCTCAAAACGTGCGGATTCGCCCAAGTACAAAGTGAGTGAATTCGCGCAATTCGGGCCAATATGTAAAGAACATGTATATAAAGAACTTGATTTCGACCTAATGTAAAAGTAACTTGATAAACTTGATAACAAGTTAATTAGTTTCGACCAAATAAAACTAAATAAATAAAATAGAAATATTTTATTTAAATAAACTTTTATCTTCTTTAACCAAAATTATTTGCTAATAACAAAATCAATTCGTTGATCCCTATTCATTCTGATCCATGCAAAAACAAAAATAATTGTTATCACCAATTAAAATACGCTCTCCCAAATTTAATCGGTGACACTTTATTACCTACTCTTCCTGTTAAAGAATGTGTTCTTGGTTGTATATCAAAATCATTAAAATGACTTCTAATATTTTTCCATCTTTTTTTTACCTATGCCATAGATACCTGTGAATGCAATACTACAAACCTCAATCCCTCCAAAAAAATAAATGGTTGCCAATTTCTTCCTTTTTTCTCCTTTAGCAGTTATTTCATTTCTCAAACTGGCAGAAAGAACACCTTTTAAAAAAATATCTTGTTCAGTTTTTTTTAAATCAAGAAAGCATTTATATCTAGTTTTAACATTATTAAAATTTAAATTCATTTTCAAGCATTCTTTTTGACAGCAAACTTGTTCTAGTAAATTTGTTATATAATGGTTGATATCATTATCTATTTTATTTGCTCTTCATTGTCAATAATTTGGTCATCAATTATTTTATTTTTATTATAAATATTTTTGAATTTTTCTAATTGTTCTTTAGACAAAGTTTCTGTTTCAAAATCATTTTCTTCTTCTCCATAACTTTCTTCCACTTCATCATGCCTTTCTTCTGCTTCATTAACTATTTCTTCATTTTTGTTGATAATTGAATTAGGCATATAACCTATTCTCAAATTAGCAAAGGATTCTTCCAAGTCAATTAAATTGGGATGTGTTTCAGTAAAAACATTGTTAAAAAATAAATGTGTAGAAGTCATTTTTTATATATTTAATTATTTGTTATTTGTGTTGTAAAAAAATCCAAATTATAATAATCGAAATAAATACTATTCAATTTTCTCTTTCATAATCGCTCAATAATCACTAATAATCAGTCAAATTGCTCAAAGTATGTTGTTTTTAAAATCAAAGAAAGTTACGCACTAGGAATTTGTTTTTTAAAAATATTTTTTAAAAACACAAAAATCTACTGTTAACACCTTATACTGTTTATTTACCACACTTACTCAGCAATATTCTAAAAGCTGGGTCACAGGGTCCAAAGATTTTAAAAAATAAATGAGTTAAAAAAGGGGAATTTTGTTAAAAGCCTTGTAACTTTATACAAAAATTCTTTTTAATAATACTATTGGAAGAATAGATAAAATAAAACCTCTAGTTTCAGATTAACTAAGATATTTCACAGTAAGTTCTGGATCTAAATTTCTTATTAATAGTAACCATAGGAATATAGAACTTCTAGTTTCAGACTATCAATTAATATGCTCTAAATTTGCCTTTATCTAAATTTACAAATATTTAAATGTAAGAATTATTTAAAATAATTATATATACATACATAACATACATACATACATATTAAATTTATATATTTATTGTTTTATGAATTATTAGGAGCATTCTGGTTTTTATGCATGTATATATTCAATGGGCAAGGTGAATGATTTAGTTATAATCATAGAACATACAGTACATAATATTGATTGATTATTTATATTATCAATTATTTTTATTAAATGAGATATTAATGATATTAATGAATGATAGGTAAAGGAAAAATTTGTACATAATGTTAAAATCATCTATCTGATTCATATACTATATGTTAAATCACAAACAGTGACATTCTCATATTGCTTAATCCTGTAATATGACCAGTTAATAAGGCTCCCGCCATGTTTTTCTTCATTATTAATATTTTTTATTCAAAAAACGAAAAGATCTGCACAGAATTTAGCCAATCAGAATCTCTTTTCATGACATCAATCATTACAGGGTATCATCCCCGGCTGAATTTAGCCAAACAAATTTTCTTCTAGAATTTTTCATGACGTCGATCATTACAGTATTTAGTATTTCCATATCGAGTAAAATACCTGACTGTAATACTCAAAAGTTAAAATTTTTGAAATATTATGTGATTCACACATTAGATTTTAAAAAACTTACCACCATTCAATCCAGCTTTAAAAAGGGAGTCTAAAAAAAAATTTGTCTCAAATTTTCTTTCCATAGATTTTTTAAATTTGAAAGTTATGCAACAATAATTTTCGTGTTACAATATTTGAATCTCACGACCAAATTTGGTAATGATTTTCTTTTAATGTAATATGTTCGTTAAACTTTTTTGTTGTAAAGATCTTTTATTTATTAATAAAAAAAAGGAAATAAATAAATCAAATAAATCAAATATATGTTGTAGAAAATATTCTATGAAAAAAAAGTTGTTACACGAAATTTACTTAGTCTCAATTTCTTAAATATATAACAAAATTCGGAATTTTCAAAATGCAAAGGCTCTGCCAATTTTCAGTTTAAGAAAAAACCAGCTGATGAGTTTTGAAGCCTGAATCATGAACAATAAAACTTATCAGTTAAATTTTTTAAAATATATAATTTTTTTTTGTTTTAGTATTTGAAGTTGACCAATTGTTACTATATATAAGCAATTAATGATTATAGATGATCTACACCATACCATCAAAATTGGAATAATTTTGACCATCAAATCACCAAATCAATTTGGGCTGCATGTATAGTTAGCATAGTAAATTTGTTAAACTTGTGCAAACTTTGAGGCTTAATTCCTCCACAACAACATGTCAGTACCCGATCTACAAGACACATATTTATGCTAATAACATAGCAGGCTTAAATATGATTGGTTTGTTTTTAAATGATTTCACATATTTAATATTACAGTCAAACCTTGTCACAGTGGATTGATGGGGTCAGCCAAAAAAATCCATTGTGACAAGAAATCCACTATGGTGATGATCATGATCAACAAAAAAAATTTTTAATATAGTAATAGATAATAATAATAATAACAACAATAATAATGATTACAATAGTAATTAATAATAAACTAAAAACACATGATACTAATACATGCAGGAATTAAAAATCTATTTTTTGAAATAAGATGAAATATTTGGTTGTATTAATTTTTCATTATTTTTTTTCCAATTATAGTTGCAAAATTAATAAACAAAAATTTTCATCTTAATTTATACATTTTGAAATTTTGATCTTTGGAGAAGGATAATAAATCCTGTTCATTTTATTGCCTAAAAACCTTTAGTTATTTATTTGGAAACTTGGGATTTTGTTACTTGCAAATATTTGAACATACAATCTATTTAATTATTTGTTACTTGCATTTGATAAATTATTTTAGAAACTTGGAAAATTTTGTTACTTGTTGAACAAATAATTCATTTAATTGTTTGTTACTTGCAGATGTTTGATCAATTATTTAGAATCTTAAAAAATAATGTTACTTGCAAGCATTTGATAAATTATTTTAGAAACTTGGAAAATTTTGTTACTTGTAAACTTTTGAACAAATAATTCATTTAATTGTTTGCTACTTGCAAAAGTTTGATCAATTATTTAGAACTTAAAAATAATATTACTTGCAAGCATTTGATAAATTATTTTAGAAACTTGGAAAATTTTGTTACTTGATCAAATAATCCATTTATTGTTTTGTATTTAATTAAATCTGTAAATTAAAAAAAAATTTGTTGCCTAATTTAGTAATTCGGATAATTTTATAAATTACTATGTCATGTGAATCTGCTGTGGTAAGATTAGTAGTCATATAAAAGGTTCCCAATCAAAATCCGTTAACACTGTGGCACAACTTTATTAATAAAATCTGCTGTGACAAATATTTTTAATTAGTAAAAAAAGGGGACAAAATTTAAATCCATTGTAACAAGAAATCCACTGTGGCAAGGTCTGCTGTGATGAGGTTTGACTGTGCAAAAAAAAAATTTATCATCACCTAACTTTAACTCAATTGGCTGCCATCAAAACGAATTGTGCAACAATATGAGATGTATATGGGGCATGGACAATAGAAAGGGACCAAACATCAAAAATCATGATTTTGAGTTGATGCCACATATATATGTAACTCGTCGCAAGGAACAATTTTAGCTTAGGAACAATACCCACATTACTTAATAAAATTTTGAGATATCTAAAGAAAACTGCAATACATATAAG